GGGGGCTAACTAAGCAAGCTTAGTTAGGCATAAAACCGTTTACACCTGTTGGGGTGCCTGATACTCAAGCCGCTAATTATGCATGTCTCGGGGTTTTGTGCCTAATTAAGCTTGCTTAGTTGGCCCCTCTACAGCTCAAGCCAACGGGTACATCTTAACCGTTTTTGTAATTAAAGAATAGAAGCCCTTGTAAATCCCATGCATTAATGGTAATGTTTCTGGTATTTAATTCTCCCGCCTGCTTCTAAGTATTATAACCAGTGCTTTGTTTTTCAGCTAAATCCAGGCCTTCAGCTCTTCTACTCTCACCAAAATATGCGACTTTATGAATGATACGACATCTCAGACATTAAAGGCGGCTTCAGCCTTGAGATATTCAGTGTCTTACTCCCGTTACAAGTCACAAAATGAGGTCATGCGTCAGCTTAGGTGCCAGCTGGCTCTGTCTTCTCCTCACAGCATTTGCCCTACCTGACCCTGACCCTTGCATCGTTGAGATCTCTCTTCCTACCATAACCCTTCGCCCAAGCAACGGCATCTATAAGAATGCATATACAAGGAAATACCAGGAGTTAGCCTCTCAAGGCTTAACGGCAGTTGCCTACACCTTTACTCAGACGTGTTCAACCATCAACTGCCCAAGTCCCCTCGAGACTGCCCCTCCTGCTGGTTTTACCCAGGCAGTGGTCGCACACGGGTCTTTCACCGCGACTCTCACGTTCCCCACTGAGTCTCTGGCGGCCTACTCCGCCGCCGGCTACACTGTCAAGCCTACCTCTTCTGTCGGGGCGTTCACTCCACTACTCGCTCCTTCTTCCTCTATGGGAGTTTTTACCCTGTACCCATCTACCTCAGGGCTTCCCACTTTTGGGGACCCATTGACTAAGGACAACAGCGGGTCTGATGGTCAACAATTTGTGGTTGTCGATGCTGCCAGGGCGGAAAGGCCTAATATTCCCATGTTTATTTTAGTATTTAGTGTCAGTATCTTCACCATAGAACTAATATAACCTCTCTCCTTTGTTTATGTTGTTTATACGGGGTAGTGTGTTAGTTTAGAATATGCAAGATCCTATTAGCTATATCTTGCGTATTGGCTACAGAGATATTTAATTTTTCAATATTAAAACATTAGAAGTTAACCATTTCAAGACCTTTCACCGGGACATTGATGCTTAAGCAAATTTGTATAGTGACAAGAGGTGTTTACTCAAACATATCTATTACCTTCTTAACAGCCGCGGTTATTATAGTTAAGATAAATGATGGCGCCCTGGTGGATACGGGTGAAAGATTCCCCGAAACGTGGTCCGCGAATGGAGCTTTATTCCCACGAGGGTTCAACCCTTATACCCTATTGGCATGAACCGACAACTTGTAACAGGGGAGCAGGGATGGTTCCAACGTCTATCTCGCTCTTAAGGACTGGAAAGTTCTCACTAGGCACATGAAAGTAGTCGATCTGGGACTCAGAATGGCTGTTAAGATTCGCTCTTGATCAGCGTTTATGTTGATCTTTCCCGACGAGGCTTGGTTAAACGCATCAATCGCTGTAAAACTGTTAATAGTAGAGATTTACTTATGGAAATAACTTTACACTACAGAGCTAGGGAGAAACTTTCCTTAGTAGTAAGAAAGAATTTTTCTGCATGTAGGGATCTGATAAGATAATCTCAACCGTTGATGCACTGTAATAGGTTAAGCATAAAATGCCAAGATGTCCTAGTTATCAATCTAGGCCATTTACGCTTTTAGTTCACGCTTGGGTGGTCTGATGACACGTCTTGGCATGGGGGAATCCTCGTACCGATGCACACTTAAGAAGACGCCGTCCCCTGGGAGAAGAAAGCAAACTTCTCGATGCAAAATTTCAAGATGGCTGCAGAAAAGAGCGAGATCACGCCTGCTGGCCGAGGGCCTTTGGATCAAAGCAATATCAGTGTTGTAATTGACTCAGAGAGCAACCAAGATGCCGTCATGGCTCCGACAGAAGCTCTGCGCAAGCTCTGGACCAAGTTTCCGCTTACCTTGGCGTTCGTCGGGTGAGTGAATTCCCAACTCGGGGCCCATGGTCGGCAACGCTGACTCGTGACTACAGCCTGTTTGTCATGAACTTCTGCATGGTCTTTGCCGCTTCTTCCGCCGGAGTTTACGATCCATACGCGACCAGCCATTTCAAAGGCCATTCGCTTATTGCCACGGCCAATGTTGTTCATGGCATTGTTCGCATTGTCGGTTATCCACTCTTGGCCAAGGTTGCAGATGTGAGTTTCCTCAATGCTGCTTGTTTCTTTAACCGAGGCGAACTGAGTACTAGCACGTTGGGCGACCGCAGGGATTTGCTGGGGCCACGATTAGCATGGCTCTGGCGAATGTCCTCTATGCGGCGTGCCGTAATGTCGAGACATATCTTGTAAGTGAGACCGCAGCCTTATCTTTGTATCGGAAATGATTGACGCCATTAGGCTGGTGGACATTAGGCTGGTGGAATTTTCGAATCGTTTGGCGATACCTGGTGGACAATAACCGAGCAGATCTTTATCGCCGAGGTTACATCGCTAATCAACAGAGGTTTCCTCTTTACACTCCCAGAATCACTTGCTGCCATACCAACTTTGTACGCCGGCACATATCTTGGCGAGCATATGCTGCTCAAGTCCTCGTGGCGCTGGGGCTTTGGCATGTGGGCTGCAATTATGCCATTTTGCGCATTGCCAACTATCGCCGTTATGGTGTTTATGAGTATGAGGGCACGAAAGAGGGGTATAGTCAGTAAGCGGACTTCATTGCGCGCTGCCTCTGAGATACCCAAGGGCGCTTCTTGGATTGTCCAAGCTCGACAAGTTCTCTACGTCCAGTTGGATATTGTTGGAGCATTCTTGTTACTTGCGGGCCTCGCCATGACTCTTCTTCCCCTCTCTATAACCGGAAGACGCAACACTGACAAGTGGTCTGAACCATCATCTATCATCTTGTTAGTCGTCGGCGTCTTGACATTCGTTGTATTCTTGATCTGGGATGGTCGATATGCTAAGAAACCAATTGTGCCTTTTCGCATGATCAAGAACCGCAACGTCATACTCGCTTGCGCTTCGGTATGCTTGATCGCAATGTCGGACTCGACTTACCGAACATTTGCATCTAGTTTCTTGCAGGTTGCTGGTGGTTATTCCCCCGGACATGCAGTCCGCATTGAGTAAGTCTCCCTCCCTCTAACTCAAGGCCTATAATTTACAATGTTAACCATGTTTAAGCAATTCCCGACGTGTTGCGTTGAACCTTGGTGGTCTTGTCATTGGCTTGGCTATACGATTTGTCAAGCACACCAAACCATTCATCGTTCTCGGCTTCTTGATGGTTGCTTTGGCCAACGGACTTCCGACTTTCTTCACAAACATCGACGGAGTTCGAGTCGCGAATGAAGCGTCATTGACCACGGGACAAGTCCTGCTTGGCCTTGGCCGCGGCTTTGCCCAGGTTCCACTCCAGGTCTCTTTACAAGCCGCAGTTCCAGACCATGAGATTGGCATTGCAACAGCCATGTTCCTTTCCTCATCCGGATTCGGTGCTAACGTTGGCAACAGGTAGGTTTCACGCGAGGTCGCTTTCAAGCCAGCAACTAACACGCATTTCAAGTATTGGAGGAGCGTTATGGAATACCCTGCTTCCACGCCGCCTCTCGGCAAACCTACCAGAAGAGGTCAAGGCCAACAGCACGGCAATCTTCCGCTCAATTGTAGTTGCGCAAAGCTATGAGCTGGGTACTGAGACTCGTGATGCGATTAACCTCAGTTATCGCATGACACAACAGACCCTCGCTATTGGGTCTCTGTCCCTGTCTATCCCACTGTTGTTGATGATGTTCTTCTTCCGAAATGTTAAGCTAGCCAAGGAGGATGACGAGAGAAACGAGATTGCAGAGCAACAGCTTGCTGCAGCAGGGCAGAAACAAGAGAGTGGAAAAAATGAGACGGGAATAAGGTTGTGGGTAGTTTAAAGAGGCT